CACTTTTCATAATTCACTGATGTTCAATAATAGATAAGCATGGTCATTTTAAAGGCATAAAGCTGTTGCTGAAGTTTATTAGAGTTTGGCATCGAAGAAAACAGGGCAGAGAAAGTATGCTTTGAACAAGAAGACACCCTGAGTTTATTTTCATTTTCCAAAAATAATAAATAATAAAAATTTTTCAAGTGGTGGCTAAATCCCATGCGGGCACTGACGACAAACATGAAATCAACTTTCGCTGGCCTAATCGTTCAGTGTTAGATCTTCACCAGCTTACTATGACAATGAAAATGAGTAAATCATGTTAAGTTTCAGATGATTTCTATCTTTGGAAGTAAAAATAGTACTATAAATGTCATACATGTATTGTTTGTTTTACAGGGCAAGAATTAATGCTAACAATTCATCAGATGATGAAGATAATGAAAGTAAGCTGCTTGCCAGCTTTGGAAAAAAGAAAAAAACACAAGGCCAAGAAAAACAAGGGAGGGCGACGTTCCAGTTGGAGCCCAGAAGAGGTCGATGACCTGGTAGACGTCATCGTCCACAACGCCCACTACCAGAGGAAACTCATTTTTATAAATAATAATAGTGAAATTTATGAAAACATCCTAAAGGAAATGAAGGAAAGCCCAGTGAAATAGGTAGCGAATTCACATTCAGCGTGTCCCAGATGCGTACTAAGTTCAAGAAACTACTGAGGAAATGCAAAGGTGCTACTATGACAATAAAAACTGCCATAGGGATCAAGAGGTTTCAGGAGAAGCAGGGATATGGGAAATGGTTCCAAGCTCTCTATGCTCTTGTTAAAACAAGAGATTCATGCCAACCGGAGCAGGCACATGAACCATCAGCAACAACCCCACCACCACAAGAAGACAGTCACGAAAACAGTAGCAGTGCAGACTCCCAAGTCTACACTTATTTGTGCCGGTGAAAAACAACAAAAAAGTAAAGTCAGACACAAAACTTGGAAATGCCGTTTCTGAATCTCCTAATGTCATTAAGGTTCTTGTCAAAAATGTCGAATCTTGTCGAAAAAACTTTATCACAGTGAAATAACTACGTTAGAGCTTTCCTTGGACAACGTAAGACTTGAGGAATCAGCTGGAGAAAAACTTCTCGGTGTTGTGATCGATCCTTATCTTTCGTGGGACCTACACATTGATTATCTTACAAAAAAAGTTGAACTCTAAGATATCTCTCCTCAAGAGGGCAAAAGTTTATTTAACTATTGAATGTAGAAAAATGTTATATAATGCTCTCATTAACCTAATTCTTGAGTACTGTTGTACTGTTTGGGGTAATTGCTCGGTTGAAAACCTTCAAAGGTTGTTACAAGTACAAAAACGATGCTGAAGATTAATTTTGGACGCCACTATCAACGATAGTTCCGTTGAACTTTTTGATAAATTAGGCTGGTTACTTATAGATGACATTGTACGCGTTAGAAAACTTTGTATGCTACATAAAGTTAGCCAAGGTCATTGTCCTGAATATTTTAGTTCATATTTGAAATATGTCAGATCTACACATGGTTATTGTACTAGATCTGCTATCTGTAATGACGTTCTAACACCATCTTGTAAAAGAAACTCAGGGCTTGGAACTTTCCACTCAAGTGCATGTAGGCTATGGAATAAACTAGTAGGTAACTCACTTAGAAACATAACTTCCCACTCAAATTTTAAGATAACGTTACTGACAAATTTTATTGAAGAAAACACCTCGATAGAGCATTTTAAGATCAGTAGGACGTTTTAAGTACAATTTTAGTATTATGAATTTTTTACTATGTATTTTTAAATTTAGTCGGATCTGTTGGGGGCCATTGTGCAAACTACCGGGTAACCGGTAATAATGTATTTTACCCTCGATAAAGTATTTGTTTGTTTGTTTGTAATACAAATGTTGTGCAGTACAACACATGCAAGTGTAATTGTGCGAACGTGGACTTTACCACTTTCACTTTTTCGCAAAAGAACCCTCCACCTTCCTTTAAGTTATCCATATGCCCCCTCGGTAATCTTCCGAGCTCTACTTAATCAAGAATTAAAGTATCTCTGTTGAGGGCTCAGCACTGCATTGGTGTAGGGTTTCATAAGCCAAGTTTGGAGAGGGAAGGAAGAATCACCCAAAATAAGTGGTGGGACATTTATCTCATCAACTGATTTTGCAATATTTGATATTAAATCATCATCCTGGATTTCCCGCCATATATGTGTTGATTTTAAAATTATTGCATCATGGGAATTGCCAGGATACCCACAGCTGGCCCAAACAAACCGGTAGTGTGAGTCCACCATGCCCATCAAAACAATGGAATAAAAGTTTTTAGAATTTTGATACTCCTTGCAGGCTTCCAAACCTCCAGGTGGGTATTTCACTGGGATGTGGCAGCCATCTAATGCAGCCCAACAGCGCTGAAACTGCCAATATTCATCCATGTCCAACATTTTTGCCTTAATTCATCCTGGGTACCTGGCATAAAAGTTGATACACTTTCAGTCCATGACTCAACAACCAGAACTTCAGATACGTCATGTACAATGCGGCTTGCGGTTGCTACACCCCGTCCTACCATTTCAGCTATCGTATAATGGTAGGCGCCTCTCGCTAATTTATAAAGGCAGATGCCTAGTCTTTCTTATGGCGAGATCGGCTCTTCTATCACTGTTTGTCTCTCGAGTCGGTGCCGAATATGACTTAATTATAAAATTAAAAATTTGTCAAGAAACTAGAAAAGTTTTTTTGAACCTCACATTAGAATAGTTGACCCAAACCTTCTGTCACCAACCAGTATTCTGGCTCAAACGATAGCAAGATCGAACTCGAGATCGAACTGAGAGAGGAAGAGAAGAGATACTGTGTCTGTGCGCTGAGATTAGGGACCTTAAGCAAACCACTACGGCGACGGCAACGAGAACATGAAAAAACAAACGATCTAATTGGCGGCACAATAGCTCAGCACGTGCATTTTAAAACTTAGTACATTCCTTGGCCGTCCTTTGCAAAACAACAACGTGAAATCACCTAAATTTGTGTCGTTTGCGAACCGAAACCACGACGGAAAATTATTTCAATTTCCATTTGAAACTCGACGCTACTTTTAAAGGTTATGTTGAGGTTGATGTCATGATGCGCGAGCTGGTGGGGGGCAGAAGCACAGACATACTGCGAAAGATGCAGAGGGCAGTGCTCTCGGGCACGCTGAATATTGCCCGGACTTTCAAGGTGGCAGTTTGAGTTCCTGTTAGAAAGAGGACAGTAGACACAACGGAGAAGCTTTTTAGGATTAGTTAACGTACATTTATTTTTTACTCCATGGCTCACAGGTTACGGTTTTCGCCCTGCGCTGCCTGATTAGAATGTAGCATTCAGTTGATTCCTCTGCGAGATAATAATAATAATAATAAGAATAATAACGAATATTTATACAGGATAGCCCTTCAGTGCAGGAGCAGTTATCCAAGGGGTCCTGTCTAAATAACATAATATAAAGATAAAAACTAGAATAAGATAAGAATGACCACGCACCTAACTACATGCCCTATGCAAAAAATTGATCTAAAGACTCCCTAAATGATACCTCCTACTGCTAATTTGCTTGATTCTTAAAGGTAAAAAATTTAAAGCTGAGGCTCCTAAAAACTAAAAAATTTTTCGAACAAAGTCAAGTCGCTTTCGGCAGAACAACGGTGGTCCCTCTGTTCCTCGTATTAAAATCGTGGGTTAACAATTTAAAATATTCTTTTAAAGGACTACAAACATTGCCTTTTAGGCAATCAGAAACAAATAAAGAAGCCTTTTTCTTTAAAAAATTTTCAATTGTGGGTAGACGGAGTTCACAGTTTAGACATTTTGAGTTTTGCAGAATAATCCTGTGACTACGTTGTTCCAGGTTTCTTATTTGGCACCTTCGTGTCTCCGACCAACCAAGCGTAATTTGACCGCAATAAGTGAATATGGGCATTATCATTGCTCTGTAGATTCGTTCAGCGCTTAAGGTGTCAGTGTTAGAACGGATTCGTCGTAATAAATTCACTCTTCCTGCAGATTGCTTGTATGTTTTGTAAAAATGCTTGTCAAGATTCAATGTAGGGTCCAGATAGACACCTAGGTACTTGTAATTTGTATTCGTGTCGATGCGAGATCCATTTACTGAGAGGTTTAGTTCTTTGCCATCAGAACCACTTAATATCTTTGCTGTTCCGAATAGCATTACTTCAGTTTTTCCTTTTTTGAGATTAATGATAAGTTCGTTATCTCGAAACCAGGAAGCGAGGCTATTGATGTCTTCGCTGAGGTTGTGTTCAATAATATCCAAGTCTTTCGAGGATGTGAAAATTACTGAGTCATCTGCGTAGGTGATAATCTTACAATAACGGAGCGGCTTGTGGACATCGTTAAAATGAACCGGCTAAAAACAATAACGGCCCGAGAATACTTCCTTGGGGAACACCTGTGAAAACAGGGTTAGGTTCTGACAATACACCCTTAAACTGAGCGATCTGGTTTCGGAGGAATAAATAGTCCGTAAACCAGTTCAGTTCTTTATCCTGTATTCCATAGCGAGACAGTTTTTCTAACATCGGAGAGTTTACAAGCATATGTATATCTAAACGATTCACCATGTTTATAAAGTATTTTATTTGACCAATATAAACATAATTCTTAGGGGTACTCCACATAGGTACTCCATAGGGTGATCCATGGAGTAGGGCTCGGCGTTTTGTCATCACCCATTTTGACTAGACGCAAGAATAAGACGAAATAAAAGCAATGGCTCATCTGAAAAGTTGACCAAGGTTGAAATACCTGTACGCTTTTGGAGAGATTACAAAAGACATGAAATTCTGTCTTGCTAAACAAACATTACTTTGCCAATTAGCGCGGAAACCATGCAGGCAAGAATTCACATGCGGAAAAAAATAACGATTGAAAAACTGAACCGCCGTACTTTGACGCGACATGTTTAATGATCAAAAAGAACATACCTGCAATTAGCTTTCCCCTGAAAAATTGAACATGTTCCACCGTTCTGGCAATATCCATCAAAACACGTGGAAGCTGCAAGAGACAAACAGAAACCAGAGGTGAGCTGAGAAAGGCCACGGACCAAGTCGTGTTATTAGCTGTTTCAGTTTTTTCAATTTTTACTTCTTCCTCAATGAATACATACTTTGACACAGGTTCCAAGAAGGGCGAAAGCCTCGCGAAATTTAGTCTATTTCCCTAAAGGGATCAATTCTAAGAGAGAAAAATTGTCTAAAGTTCGCACTCCACCATCAGTGTTTGATAAACTGTGAGAGAGTTAAAAATATTTTTTTTTTTTGGCCGTGACCGTTATAATCCATGCAAAACGTGCCCTATTAATAACAATAATAATAATAATAATAATAATAATAATAATAATGATAATAATAATGACAATGAGCTTTATTTAACCGGGGAACATCATTCAGCAGTCTGTTCTCCCAAGTGTCCCTGACATAAATAAATACAATAGTAAAATAATGTACAATATACACCAATAAATATAAACATAAATTATAAACCCAAAAAGCTATGAAATTGAGACAATTAAATGGTTACGATAACATTGCGCTGATTGGCCTTTTAAAACTTGGCACAAATAGTGGTAAAATAAAATGATTAAATGATTACAATAATATTTTGCTAATTTATAGTACGTTTCATGTGTTCAGTTCTTGGTTTAGATAGTATTATTATTTTAGTATTATTTTGTAGTATTTCCATATAAAACTGTCTGACTGTCGCAGGAGCTTTAGAAGTCGGCAACGCAACTGAAGTTATCCATTAAAATGATCATATTTATTTAGTTAGAAATTCTCGAATGGCTGGATCACAGGCGTCCCAAGTTC